GCATTCCTGAAACAGAAGTAAACAGTATTTCTTACGAGCAGAGTGACAAATCCCTGTCAAGTGACTCAAATCCACAGAAAGGTTCTGCCAGAAGAGGCAGTGCTGTTGAGAACCCAAATGGTGGCAATATTTCACACAATTATGTCCAGTCTAATGAGAAGGAAATACTAGATGTCTCATTTGGAGGCATTGATCTTGGTTTTGACAAAGGTGAAGAGGAAGATGATCAATTGTCTCATGCTGAAATAGCTTCAGCTAGGCTATATTTTGACGAACATTTGAACAACAAAGGATATGTGACAATTACGCCTGATACCTTGCCAAATGAAATACCACTTAGCACTGAAACCTCTGGTCAAAAAATTGAAATACTGGAAGGTGTGATTGAATCAAGTTTAAAGGAGGTTTCAAATGAAGATGACAATATTGAGAGTGGAGGGGAAAAACCCCCACCGTTGGCTGGGGAAAATGTCATGAATGTTATATTGGCTGCAGCAGAATGTGCTCCTTGGTCAAAAACAGGTAACCGACATTATTTCTATGGAATGTTTTCTTTAATGAATGTATGTTGCCGAGTTCCTTTGTGACAAACACTGATAGGCATTATTGAAATAAATTTGGCAAGTGGCATCTTGTTGCAAAACTGTTCACCAGCCTTATGAGAAAATACTGTTTGAAATGGCTTACCATGTCTACACGAATTTGGGTGTAACTTGTATTTCACATACGGCATATAAAGTGTGTGGGGGGGGGGGGGGTGTGACCCTAATTTGGATGTAATTTGGTGTAACTGCTGAGAACTTTAAATAAAACACAAAAATGTAAGACATTTTCTTTTTTGGGGCTTATTTTCTTTTGAATTTATATATTTATCATTGCCAGCCTTGTTCTTGAATTATGGCACTACTGAGGTATTTATTCCCATTCATAAGCATTCTTGTGATGCAATTACTTACATGAAACAAGTCCATGGAATTTTTCCAATTCTTCAATCTTTGGTTGTCATTCTGTGCATGCTGCTTTGTTTTGATGTAACTTACAGACTTATACCTGAACTAATAGGTGGGCTTGGAGATGTTGCTGGATCATTACCAAAGGCTTTGGCTAGGCGTGGACACAGAGTTATGGTAACATGCTATTCCCTTGATGAACTGTCAGAGTATAACTATCACATATTTGGGAAGAGAACTTGCTCAATTGATATACTCTTGCTTGACAAAGAACCACTTAAATGAGTCTTGATTGTTTCCTTTGCTTATTAAATCTTCTATCCCCATAGTTCAAGAGGAATAGTACCATAGATAGAGTTTGATATAACTTGAAGTTAAATTATTAGATTTTATAAAGATAGACAAGAGATACAAAAGGAACTGTACTGAAATATAGAGACCAAAGGAAATAATCCCCCTTCTAGGGTTTTCTCCTTTTACAGTCTAGTCATTGCTTGGTTTCCCAAAATTAACAAATCTGAACATCCATTAACTTATTTGACCCCTTTCCTATTGATTAATCTTAGTCCCTATACTTAACTTATTACTTGAACTTTTATTCATTTTCACTTTTGTCTTTGGACTTTTCCTTCTGTTAATATTTTTGTTCCCTGACATCAAGATCTTTTGATCATGAAAGTAAATTGTAGGGACTAAAACCAAATATAATTTGTTTAGCGACTAAGTGAAATTCGACAAAAGTTCAAGGAGAAAATCTTACTACACAACATAGGGTCTGAATCCTTGATGTTCATTTTAAGAATCATCAACAGAAAACTTGATAAGTTACAACTTCAAGTATTAAAAAGATTGGCTATGCTATACTTTGAGATATCTAAGAAGGTTGTTAAAGCAGTGTTCGGAGAATAAAAAAGGTTTTGGATTGAGAGATAAAAAATCTTGGTGGCGGAATGAAAGTGTGCTAGAAAAGGTAAGAAACAACATGTAATGTTTTAAGGTCTTACATGGGTGCTATAATGCTGAAAATTGGGCAAGGTATTGGAAGGTTAGAAATGAGATAAGGAAAGTTAAGACTTGGAGAAGGAGTAAACACTCAATTTGGTCCCCAAAAGATGGTAGAGGTGATTGATAAGTCCTTGAAAGATTTTTTGTGGCACTTGGGTCCCAAAATTTTAACTTTGTTATGCAAGTTAGTGCTTCTGTTATATTCAATTACTAATTTTGTTAGTTTCTTGAACAATGAGGAGTTAAGTGTTAGGTTGTACTTATTCTCTCTCTTAGTTGACTGTTTTCTCTCTCTTAATCACCTAATATGGACCATATTGCAAGTTTTGGTACTTTCTAATCAATAACAGACACTTTGTCATGCTTAAATATTTTAGCCATGGGTCCTTTGGTTAAAATGAAAGGTTGTTGTTGAGTTTTGTAGGATTTTCCTAGTTGGATCTTTCTGTCCCAGTCACTTAATTTATTTGTTTGTTTTTGGCTATAAATTTAGGGTTGTAAACCTTAAACTATTGAAATTGGAGTTTAGGAAAATGAGTGATCATTCTGAAAGATCTCAAGCAAGGATTCGTCAATCGAATATGAATGCTTTAACTATGTTTAATAAATCGCAAAATTCCTCTAGTAGAAGTGGGAAAAACTTAGTGATAATGGTCCTCTTTGTTAATTGATATAGAGGATATGTGCCAACGTGACAATTAACTGTTGATCGGTCATGAGACTAATAGAGTTAATAACTGGGTGACAGAAGGACTAACTTGTATAATGAAGTTAAAATTTAGGGATCTAGATGCCATAAAAAATCTTTTAGAGATCTATTGGCCACCTCTACCATCTTTCAGGAACCAAATTAAGTGTTTACTCCTTTGAGAAGTTTTATGAGACCAGAAAAAAGCTTTAAAGAAATAAAGAATAGTGAGATCATTTACAATGGTATCACAATTCACAGAATACCTTATTATATTGGTATGTTAATGTAATCAATGTAAGCAGATCATATGTCCGATGATTGAAGTAGAAACTACAAAGAACTATTTACTTTTATAAGCTGCTGATTATGTGTAACCAAATTTATCACATCTTAGTAGTGCACGTAACAAATAATCCATCCTGATATCTGGTGAGTTATTGAAAATTATTTTAAAATTTAGTTGCTTCTGCTCTTCCAATTGTTGTTCATTGTCTTTTTTGTAACTTCCCACAGAAATGCCACATGTGACATTGGATGACTCTGTATGTAGGCCTATATAATATTTAGTAGCTTTGGGATGTATCTGAACTTCTCTTTAAATCAATTTGTCTGTCTAAATTGTACATTTTACAATAATTGTGAATTGAAATGACAGCTTGTTTCATATCTCATCAAATTATTATTAGATGCTTCTTAAATTTTCAAGTTCCTTTTTTTTTATTATTAATATTTCCATTTTCTTTGTAGGTTGTAGCACCTCGGTATAGTGATTATCCTGAAGCACAAGATATAGGAATACGGAAACGATACAAAGTAGATGGTCAGGTTTGGAGCAGCCTCACTATTCTTAATCAATTATAATTCATTGAATCAATTGATTGCTACTACCTTGGTGTTATAACACACCAATATTTATGCTTTACAGGACATGGAAGTATCATATTACCAGGCTTATATTGACGGTGTCGACTTTGTTTTTATTGACAGTCCAATCTTTCGCCATTTACAGGATAACATATATGGTGGAAACCGAATGGTAATAATCTATTTTTGTTGATTTGAAGACTTCCATTAAGTACTTCCGTTGTCATAAACTGTAACATTGCTCTTTTTCAATGGGGGAAACAGAAGAAAAAATGGGGGAAAAGACAAAACTGTCTAATTTAGTGAATTATGTGTTTCCTTCATTAGCAAAATGATTTTGACTTATGAGATGAATGATCAAAATGCTGTGCTGTTTTGATTTAAGGTATTCTAGAAACCCATCGTGCATTAGCATTATCATATATTCAAGAATTCTCAGTTATCTGTTACTATTTCTCTGCTCTTATTAATTTCTCTTTGACTCAGTTCATGTTTTTTTAATGGAACAGGATGTTCTAAAACGCATGGTGTTGTTTTGCAAGGCAATTGTTGAGGTACATGAATTAAATGATTTAGTGACTACATCAATTATGGGGATACTCACTAATGACAATTATCTACCCGAAAGATCCTTTTATCAGATACAAATGTTATTTTTTATAAAATTCATTGAATCCAAATGTATCCTTATTCCTTTCTCTAGTCGTAAATAGTCTGTTTTGGGCAACCTGAAATACATTAATTTGCATTTCGATGGGCAAAAATGGTGAAAATAGGAAATGACTAGTGGTAGGTATGTTGTTCCTGTCCAGGCTGTGACTAGCATAAGTTCTGCTATCATGATGTAACCAAGATACTTGCCATACTAGGCTCTCAGTGATGACAAATGGGGCATCACCTTCATATGTCAGAGATTACTACTTTTGAATCTCTCCTAATATTATCCCTTATATTTTTATATATGCTTCTATGCAACTCTGTTTAATAGACTGGATTGCCACAGGAAATATGCAAATATACCTTTAGAATTACTTAACCCTGGGTCCCCATGAAAACTTTGCTAAGTTTTTACCACAAGGAAATGACAAGGCCTATAAAGTTGGATGCATTTTGAGTAAAGTAACATATTTGATAGGATTATTCTCAAATAAGAGTAGTTAACATTTTTATCCAAAATCATTTTTATCAGCAGTCAAAAGTCATTCTGAGGGTGTGTTCTTTATGAAATCCTAATAATTGTATACTTTCAGTAGATAAATGAAGTTAATGATTTTCAGGTTCCTTGGTATGTTCCATGTGGTGGTGTTTGCTATGGAGATGGAAATTTGGCCTTCATAGCAAATGATTGGCATACTGCATTGTTGCCAGTGTATCTGAAAGCATATTATCGTGACCATGGTATTATGCAGTACACAAGATCTGTTCTTGTGATTCATAACATAGCACACCAGGTTCATTCTCTATCTAGACATATAGTTAATTTATTGCTTTGTGCAGTGAGGAAAGAAGAAGATATATTGAGAGGCGACATATCTATTGGGAGCGTGAAAGGAGTTAATCTTGACCATACAACCATTCATGGATTGTGAAGATTCTCTTACCTAAATTTAATGTTTACCATCCATCCATTTTGATTAAATGGTCAAGATTTACTCTTGTGTTCTTGACTCTTTATCTCACTTGATTTGCTTCACACACACATAATATTGTGTGGGGGGATGGGGAGTGACTCTTATGACTATACTTGGTTAATGTAAGAAATGAGAACTATAAATATAGACCATTAGATCAACTTTAAATGGTTAGGGTTAAAAGAAAAATATACGCGACTTTTTTAAGTTACCACATGACCATCAATTGATATGTAATCTCATTGCATCTGGTCCAATTGTTTTATGGAACAAGAAATTGATGCCATTATTGTTAACTAACATACCCTGATAAAACGGCTCTCATTGTTTATATTTCAGCAAATGTATACTTGATTTTCCTTCTGTAGAATATATTGGGGGAAAATAATGGATAAATATGCTGAGGAAAACATTTATCGCCTTTGATATATCACCGTAACAATGATTGACATTCCATGATCTTCTTCTATCCCAAGGTTTATAGAAGGTATCTTTTAATGAAAAAAGTAATAGAGGGAAAGGATATAGGCCTTTCAATTAATACCTTTATGTCTGTTTGTTACTATATTTATATTTATATGAATGGTCATCTATGCTCCTATATTTGCACTCCAACCTATTGTTGAAACATTCTGTGGATATTGCCGGATAGTGAAGATCCCACCATTGTAATAACCATGTAAAATGTCTTGTTGATGATTAATTTCACTGCACTAGTTTGAAAAACCATGTTCCCCGCATCATGCTGGTGATACTAAATTTTGGTAATAAATTAGCATTCTAAAATCCATAGAAGAATGCTTCAAAATGTTAATATTTCTTTACAGAAAGAAATTTAGTAAGGAATCAAGAAAATAATTCCTCATCAGATGCATTTATGTTTGCTTTGCATGTGGCTGTGGGTTGAATCTAAAAGCGATTCTCTTATCTTTGAACAAGAAAAACTCCTGTAAAGGCAAATCATTGAAGTTGATTTCATTGTAACAATTGTTGGAGTTTATATTCTTTTTTTTTTCTTATATAGAAAAGGAATAGTCACACACTTACTTTACATATAGGGTCGGGGCCCAGTTGATGATTTCCGTTACACGGATTTACCTGAACACTACATAGACCTCTTCAAATTATATGATCCCGTTGGGGGTGATCACTTCAATATCTTTGCAGCCGGTTTAAAGGCAGCGGACCGGATTGTCACGGTTAGTCATGGCTATTCATGGGAGCTTAAAACTTCTGAAGGTGGTTGGGGTTTGCATGGTATCATAAATGAGAATGACTGGAAATTCAGGGGAATTGTGAATGGAATTGACAACAAAGATTGGAGCCCCAAGTTTGATGCCCACTTGACATCAGATGGATACACTAACTACACACTTGACACCCTGCAAAGTGGCAAGCGGCAATGCAAAGCCGCCCTGCAAAAGGAGCTTGGTTTGCCTGTTCGTGAGGATGTTCCAGTAATCGGATTCATTGGAAGGCTGGATCATCAGAAAGGCGTTGATCTCATAGCCGAAGCAATTCCTTGGATGATGGGCCAGGATGTGCAACTAGCCATGTTGGGAACCGGAAGGGCCGACTTAGAAGAGATGCTTCGGAAATTTGAATCCCAACACCGTGACAAAATCCGGGGATGGGTTGGCTTTTCTGTGAAGTTGGCTCACAGGATAACAGCAGGTGCAGACATATTGCTCATGCCATCAAGGTTTGAGCCCTGTGGACTGAACCAACTCTATGCCATGAATTATGGAACGGTTCCGGTGGTGCACGCGGTTGGTGGACTGAGGGATACTGTGAAGCAATTCAATCCATTTGAAGAGTCTGGCTTAGGGTGGACATTTGACAGCGCAGAAACCAATAAGTTGATAAACTCGTTAGCAAACTGCTTGTTGACCTACAGGCAGTATAAGCAAAGTTGGGAAGGGATTCAACGGCGAGGGATGATGCAGGATCTTAGTTGGGACAATGCTGCTCAGCAGTATGAGGAGGTTCTTGTTGCTGCTAAGTACCAATGGTAATTTCTTGGCATCTACTATACCTTAGCATACTGATGAATATCAGGGGTCTGTGCAAGGGAAAGGACATGATCAAGTTGTTACAACCTTCTTAATGCTGGTCATGAAGGAACAATTTTGTCCCTAAAGTAAGGATTATGTAATAGTACACTTTTTATATGTCATCTTTGGCATATGTACCAATGTAGCTAAGAAATAATGGACCAAAATATAAAATAAGGTTAGAAGCTTTTTTGTCCTTTTGGCTAAAGAAAGAAAAACAAAAGAAAAGAGAGAGTATTATTACCCCCTTAGAGAAACTTTCTGTCACTGTTACCCTTCAAAGTTTCTTCTCTTTCAATGCTGCAATGGTGTGTCTACCACTATGTTCCACCAGGCAGCAGCAGCAGCATAATAATAGAAACTAAATTATCGAGTGCCTGATTCGGATGCTTAAATATTTTTCTTTTAATTTATAATTGTTAACATAACAAAATTAAATTTTTATTTTAGTAATATTTTTAAAGGTAAAATGGAGTCTTTTAACATGTTTTTTCTGTCTTAACATAGAGATAAATAAGGATATACAATGATTTGATCTCATCAATTTTGGCAAAACATTTTATGCATCTTTTTAACCTTTAGTTTGGAGCACAGATAATGAAGGATTCTATTTCTAAAAATTGACAGTTATTTTGAAAAGGAAAATGCCATCAACATTCATTTTGAGTAATTGAACTTTGAAGCATTATAACTGAAAAAATGTAGCGGACAATAAATTAAGAGAAATAAGGAATTGATAGAAGGAAATTTAGAAAAATAAAGTATCGATAGAAGGAAATGTGGTTAGATTCCTAAAGAGGAAGTGAAGGATTGAACCAAGACATGACAAAGATAATAAAGTGTTGATTTCAAAAGTAGAAGATTAAGAAACCAGAATAAAAGAAATGAAAGAGAGATTTGTAGTAATAGGGTTTTGTATTATTGTTTTTTCTGTTTTTATGATCTTAACAGAGAAAGAGATCAGTTTATATAGATTGCATAATAGTACATGAAAAGCTACATACTACATTAACGTGGCACCAACTAATCAACTAATAGAGCACATAACAAACAAAGTTATAAACTCTTGGTGATGTGGCAATAGTCACTCATCTTACAACAGGTAATAGATTAACTAATACAAATAAGAGAGATAACTCTATTACTCTAATACTATCCCTACAAACTCATGTTTGTGAGGAACTCAAACCCTTGAGTTTGTCTCTTAATGAACAAAATTGTGTCTTAAAAGAGAGGGTTGGTATGAATGTTAGCCACTAGCCACTTGAACTTAAGCAAGAACATAGGAGACAATTAAATGTGTGTTTGTTTTAACATTAATATAGTTTTCAATGTTTGTTCAACTCAATCTATGAGTCTTGTAATTTTGAATTCAATGGACGTTTGGAGCTTCTCAAGGTTAAAACAAACACACTCTAAATACTTGTTAAGAACCTTCTCTCGAACAAAGAAAAATATCAAGCGTCAAGTGTTTAGTTTCTCAAATGAAGAACATGACTGTGACTGGGCTTTGATTACCACAATATATAACTAGTTTTGGAATCTGAGTTGTAATTAAGTAAGGATAGAAGGAAAATAACTTCTAATGCAGTTGAACTTTGATATTCAGCTTCAATAGGAGACTAGGCTACCAATGTCTATTTTTTAAACCAACAAGAAATCAAAAGAGGACAAAAAAAATAGACAAGTTCCTAATGTGGACCTTTACGGTCATCCACATTTGAGACCCAATCAACATTAGAATAAGCTTGTAAAGTGAGAGAGACAAAGGTAGTTGCAAATTGAAAAGTAAGACCAAGATTAAGAGTGCCTCTAAAATATAAAAAAAAAATGTCTTACTACAGCACAATGAGATGTCAAATGTTGAGCTATGAATTGGTGGATCTTATTAACATGCCCAATCTCTAGACATGTAATGGTTACATATTGAAATACCCCAACAATAGATCTATACGTAAAAGAATCATGAAAATAGTCAGATCCATTTCGAAATAGCTTGATATTGGTTGGAAGAAGTGTAAAGATACCTTTTACAATATCTATATAAGCTCTATGTAAAAGATATCAAGCATATTTAGCTTGATTAAGAAGAGATCTTGAAGTTGTATGTTTAACCTCAATGCCAAGAAAGTAATCTTAATTTCGGATTTGTTTAAGAGCAAAAACTCCATCCAATTTTGTAATAAATCCCCGAAAAAAAGATAGAATCCCCTGTAATTATAATATCATGAACAAAAATGAGCATGTAGATTCACATATCATACATCTTATAAATTAAAAAAGAAGGATTACACTTGTTATAAAAAAAAAACCAAAATCAATTAATGTCTTCATTAAACGATCATATCAGGCTTTTGAAGCCTGTTTTAGATCATAAATGGCTTTTTGAAGTTTGTAGTCAATCGATTTTTTTTTTAAACTTCAAACCCAAAAGGTTGAATTCAACAAATGTTACACGCTTGCAATTGAATACAAATGTTTGAGAGATTTTTTAATAGCTAAGTATAGCTACTATGCATTCAACAAATGTTGCACACCTACAATTGAATACAAAGTTGTAATAATTGAATTGTAATTTGTTAGTGACAATAGATAAAAATGGTCTTGCATTGTGTGAATTCTTAACCATGAAGCTTTTTCAATAATATGCTTAATTTAATAACCAACATTGCCTCCCTTAAGTCAAACTTGTACCATCCTAAGCATTTTCTTCAACTTGTAAAATAACTCAATCTTCAATGATTTTGTAAAAATATTTGTCACTTGTTCTTTAGTTCGAAATAATTAATTTTCATTTCTTTATCACTATCAATTCTTATATCTTATGATATTGAATATTAATGTGTTTGGACTGCCCTTGAAAAACTAGATTTTTGCTTAATGCAATAGTAGACTAGCTATCACAAAATATTTTGTGGGAGTATTCTACTTTTGGTGCATCACTTCTAAATTGATTCTCAACCATACTACTTGTGTTACACAACTGGTTGCTGCAATGTATCTGGCTTTAGTTGTAGAAAGTGCAACGTGTTTCTTTGAAGACCTTAATACTACACTTATACCTAGATGAAATATATATACTAACGTTCATTTTTCTTATTTCCACGTCTCTTACCCAATCTGTGGAGAAAAGATAGACACTAGAAGGGGTGGTTGAATAATGTTAATAAAAGTCACACTTTTTCTAAATAGTATCTTAACTTTAGGAGTGCAAATAAAGAGATAAGACATAAAGTGTTTTTATACTAGTTCGTTTCAACCACTGAAACTATGTCAAGTTCTTGATCAACCCGATCTAGTTTCACTATCTTTTACAAAAATACAAACATTCTTTCATTAGCAACTTCTGACTCAACCTAAATATTCTTTGACTTACCTTTTTAAACAACTACCCAAGTATTCTTTGAACACAAAGTCTCTTTAGACTTCAAACAATCAAGTATTCTTTGAACACAAAGCCTCTTCAGGATTCAAATAACCACATATTCTTTGAACACAAAGCTTTTTCAGGCTTCAATCAACCAAGTATTCTTTTACAATCAAATCTCTCTAGGTTCAAAGCAATAACTCTAAGTTAAAGATGGTTAAGATAATCATGTTATTTTGTCTTACTTTCAAGACGTGATACAACAATTTTAAGTACACAACTTGCTGACAAAAAGAATGAATATATTTTTACAATGTGTTCTCTTATTCTTTGACTATTGTAAATCCTTGAGTGTCTTTCATAGACTTGTTTTGTCTGTCTTCATTTTTGTTCTTTGTGAAGAGAAGTATCTATTGGTGCATTAATTACTTGCATTAAATATGTTTTACCAAATTGTCACTTCTTATCTAATTAAGGAAGCTACTTATGACCTTTTAGGTACCACATGAGTGGAGTCATGAAGTGCTTCATTTGTTAGACTTAATGTCAAGATATCGCCTTATGCTAATTCATCTTATTGATTGATCGGGAAAACTTTTCTATAGAAAAATGTTATGTTTTTTTATCATTAAAACTTAAAACTTAAAACTTAAGGACTCTAAGATCATATTTTGACCTAACACAGTCATATTTGTGTATCCAACAAGTTTCACATCATTATGACTGGTATAAAAAATTTCATTAATTAGAGTTCCTTTTGTGTAACAAAGAATTTTCTTTGCTTCTTACAAATGACAAGTACATGACTCCTCCATGAATATGCTATGCAACTTGACTCCAAATATTGTATTTGGTCTAGTCACAATGAAATTCTCAAACTTCTAATCAATTTTTTTATTGGATTGCATTCACCTTTCTACCTTCACTTTCTCTTGTTATCTTTAACTTTTCTTTAATTGTTGTGGAAACTGATTTTGAATTCTCCATCTTAGACTTCTTCAAAATATCACTTGCATAATTCTTTTAAGAGATAAAAATTTCATCTTCTTGTTGATCAACCTCAATGCCAATAAAATAAGACATTAGACTTAAATTTATATCTAAAAAAAATTGATCATAGATTGAATTTTGGAATCATCTTTAGATTATCATCAACATAAAGATACACAATACAAATATTTCCAACATCAACAAATTTAACATGTAGAGTGTGCTCAAAATGACATCTCTCAAAACCATCTTCCACAAAGTAATAACCAATGTTCTTGTACCATGCTCTTGGTGTTTACTTCAATCCATGCAAAATTTTCTTCAATCTATGTGCCTTATCTTTTTCTTTTTTGACTACATATCCTATAGGCTACTCAACATATAGTTCTTCCAAAATACCATTTAGAAATGTAGATTTAACATCCTTTAGGTATATCTTCCAATTATTTTGAATCAAAAAAGAAATATTCATACAAATTGTATTCAACCTTGCAATGGGTACAAATACTTCAAAATAATCAATACCTAGTTTCTTGCTTGTACCCTTTAACCACTAACCTCATTTTAAAGCAACATCGATAATCTCCTCATCAAATAAGTCATTATCATTACCTACAACATAATCCTCCAATTTAGTTGGTGGTTGACGCGCCTCCTTAGCCTATGAGATGATTCTGGTTCATCAACAATTGGATCTAGTTGCCTTTAATTTCAATCTCTTCATAATTGTCAAGAATCATCATTTTCTCCTTTTAAGACTTTGGAGACCAATCTCATATGCTTTTCTCATCAAATATCACATCTATGCTAATAATCACCTTTCTTTTTCTTTGGATTGTAAAGTTTATATGCCTTCGAATTTGAACTATAGCCAATAAAAGTACACATTTCTCCTTTGTTATCCAATTTCTTTCTAAACTACTCTGGAACATGTACATATGTTATGCATTCAAAAACTTTGAGATGTTTGATTGATGGTCTCCTATCATTCCAGGCTTCTTACGGTGTCTTGTCATGAACAC